ACGGGGGAGAGACGGGGAGAGACGGGGAGAGACGGGGGAGAGGCATGGGGGAGAGACATGGGGGAGAGGCATGGGGGAGAGACGGGGGAGAGACGGGGGAGAGGCATGGGGGAGAGACGGGGAAGAGACATGGGGGAGAGGCATGGGGGAGAGACGGGGAAGAGACATGGGAGAGGCATGGGGGAGAGACGGGGAAGAGACGGGGAGAGGCATGGGGGAGAGACGGGGAAGAGACATGGGGGAGATACGTGGGAGAGGCATGGGGGAGAGACGGGGGAGAGGATGGGGAGAGAGGGGAGAGGCATGGGGGGAGAGAACGGGGGGAGAGGCATGGGGAGAACGGGGGAGAGACGGGGGGAGAGACGGGGGAGAGGCATGGGGGGAGAGACGGGGGAGAGGCATGGGGGAGAGAGGGGGAGAGACGGGGGAGGCATGGGGGAGAGACGGGGAAGAGGCATGGGGGAGAGACGGGGAAGAGACGGGGGAGAGGCATGGGGGAGAGACGGGGAAGAGGCATGGGGGAGAGACGGGGAGAGACGGGGGAGAGGCATGGGGGAGAGACGGGGAAGAGACATGGGGGAGAGGCATGGGGGAGAGACGGGGAAGAGACATGGGGGAGAGAGGCATGGGGGAGAGACGGGGGAGAGGCATGGGGGAGAGACGGGGAAGAGACGGGGGAGAGGCATGGGGGAGAGAGGGGAGAGAGGGGGAGAGACATGGGGGGAGAGACGGGGAGAGGCATGGGGGAGAGACGGGGGAGAGGCATGGGGGAGAGAGGGGGAAGAGACGGGGGAGAGGCATGGGGGAGAGACGGGGAGAGACATGGGGGAGAGGCATGGGGAGAGAGACGGGGGAGAGGCATGGGGGAGAGACGGGGGAGAGGCATGGGGGAGAGACGGGGAAGAGACATGGGGGAGAGGCATGGGGGAGAGACGGGGAAGAGACATGGGGGAGAGGCATGGGGGAGAGACGGGGAAGAGACATGGGGGAGAGGCATGGGGGAGAGGCATGGGGGAGAGACGGGGAAGAGGCATGGGGGAGAGACGGGGGAGAGGCATGGGGGAGAGACGGGGGAGAGACGGGGAAGAGACGGGGAGAGAGACGGGGAAGAGACGGGGGAGAGGCATGGGGGAGAGACGGGGAGAGGCATGGGGGAGAGACGGGGGAGAGACGGGGGAGACATGGGGGAGAGGCATGGGGGAGAGACGGGAAGAGACATGGGGGAGAGGCATGGGGGAGAGACGGGGAAGAGACGGGGAGAGGCATGGGGGAGAGACGGGGAAGAGACGGGGGAGAGGCATGGGGGAGAGACGGGGAGAGACGGGGAGAGACGTGGGAGAGGCATGGGGGAGAGACGGGGAAGAGACGGGGGAGAGGCATGGGGGAGAGACGGGGGAGAGGCATGGGGGAGAGACGGGGGAGAGACGGGGAAGAGACGGGGGAGAGGCATGGGGGAGAGACGGGGGAGAGGCATGGGGGAGAGACGGGGGAGAGACGGGGAAGAGACGGGGGGAGAGGCATGGGGGAGAGACGGGGAGAGACATGGGGGAGAGAGGCATGGGGGAGAGACGGGGGAGAGGCATGGGGGAGAGACGGGGAAGAGACGGGGGAGAGGCATGGGGGAGAGACGGGGAAGAGACATGGGGGAGAGGCATGGGGGAGAGACGGGGAAGAGACATGGGGGAGAGGCATGGGGGAGAGACGGGGAAGAGACATGGGGGAGAGGCATGGGGGAGAGACGGGGGAGAGACGGGGAAGAGACGGGGGAGAGGCATGGGGGAGAGACGGGGGAGAGACATGGGGGAGAGGCATGGGGGAGAGACGGGGAAGAGACATGGGGGAGAGGCATGGGGGAGAGGCATGGGGGAGAGACGGGGAAGAGGCATGGGGGAGAGACGGGGAGAGGCATGGGGGAGGGGAGACGGGGGAGAGACGGGGAAGAGACGGGGAAGAGACGGGGAAGAGACGGGGGAGAGGCATGGGGGAGAGACGGGGGAGAGGCATGGGGGAGAGACGGGGGAGAGACGGGGAAGAGACATGGGGGAGAGGCATGGGGGAGAGACGGGGAAGAGACATGGGGGAGAGGCATGGGGGAGAGACGGGGAAGAGACATGGGGGAGAGGCATGGGGGAGAGACGGGGAAGAGACGGGGGAGAGGCATGGGGGAGAGACGGGGGAGAGGCATGGGGGAGAGACGGGGGAGAGACGGGGAAGAGACGGGGGAGAGACGGGGAAGAGACGGGGGAGAGGCATGGGGGAGAGACGGGGAAGAGACGGGGAAGAGACGGGGGAGAGGCATGGGGGAGAGACGGGGAAGAGACGGGGGAGAGGCATGGGGGAGAGACGGGGGAGAGGCATGGGGGAGAGACGGGGGAGAGACGGGGAAGAGACGGGGGAGAGGCATGGGGGAGAGACGGGGGAGAGGCATGGGGAGAGACGGGGGAGAGACGGGGAAGAGACGGGGGAGAGGCATGGGGGAGAGACGGGGAAGAGACATGGGGGAGAGGCATGGGGGAGAGACGGGGAAGAGACGGGGGAGAGGCATGGGGGAGAGGCATGGGGGAGAGACGGGGAAGAGGCATGGGGGAGAGACGGGGGAGAGGCATGGGGGAGAGACGGGGAAGAGACGGGGAAGAGACGGGGAAGAGACGGGGAAGAGACGGGGAAGAGACGGGGGAGAGGCATGGGGGAGAGACGGGGAAGAGACATGGGGGAGAGGCATGGGGGAGAGACGGGGAAGAGACATGGGGGAGAGGCATGGGGGAGAGACGGGGGAGAGACGGGGAAAAGACGGGGGAGAGGCATGGGGGAGAGACGGGGGAGACGGGGAAGAGACGGGGAGAGGCATGGGGGAGAGACGGGGGAGAGACGGGGAAGAGACGGGGGAGAGGCATGGGGGAGAGACGGGGAGAGAGAGAGGGGAGAGGCATGGGGGAGACGGAGGACGGGGAGAGACGGGGGAGAGGCATGGGGGAGAGACGGGGAGAGACGGGAAGAGACGGGGGAGAGGCATGGGGGAGAGACGGGGGAGAGACGGGGAAGAGACGGGGGAGAGGCATGGGGGAGAGACGGGGAAGAGACGGGGGAGAGGCATGGGGGAGAGGCATGGGGGAGAGACGGGGAAGAGGCATGGGGGAGAGACGGGGGAGAGGCATGGGGGAGAGACGGGGAAGAGACGGGGGAGAGGCATGGGGGAGAGGCATGGGGGAGAGACGGGGAAGAGGCATGGGGGAGAGACGGGGGAGAGGCATGGGGGAGAGACGGGGAAGAGACGGGGGAGAGGCATGGGGAAGAGACGGGGAAGAGACATGGGGGAGAGGCATGGGGGAGAGACGGGGGAGAGACGGGGAGAGGCATGGGGGAGAGACGGGGGAGACAGGCAAGACCCGTGTCTATGGTTCTGTGCGCGCGTCTATGGTCCGCGCTCGGTACATGACCACGGCGTTTGCGGAGCTGTCAAAGCAGCCACAGTTTCTCCCGGGGTCAGAGGTCAGAGAGGATGAGAGCCGCAGCAGAAGTCAAGACATTAATATCAAATCAAAGTGTTGTTTACTTCTGTTGCCATGTTGACGTACTAGAAGCTAGTGAATAAACGCGCGAAAATAGTGTATACTTATTTGAATATGTCTTAATGGAAACGGCCGCTTTTGCGAATTACAGGTTTTTCAAATTTTGAAATGTATCGAAAAAGTTTTTGCGCATTATTCAATGGAAACGCAGCTACTGACACATAGGTGGTTATTGCACATTCTGATATTAGTGAAGGATTTTGCACCGACACATGACATGTAAGATCAAGTGGGCAGTGTTCATTAGTCCTCATTGTTTGTTGTACAGTCTGACAGCAGCAGGAAGGAAAGACCTGCAGAACCTCTCCTTCACACAGCCAGGGTGAATTAGTCTGTCCCTGAAGCTGCTCTCCAGAGCAGAGAGAGTGTCCTGCAGGGGGCGACAGTCATGGTCCAGCCATAGACTGTATATATTAACGGACAGAGTCACGCCTATCTCCGCCGTTCTAACTAAATGTGCTCTACTGGAGCTATCCAAAATGGCCGCGAGTGGTCCCGCCCACAAGAAAATTGTGAAAAAACGCATCTGCGCATGCGTCAGCTGCGAGAGCTCCATTCATTTGAACGATAGACTTCAAAAATTCACAGCAAGTAAACTAGAGTGGACCAAAACACTCAGCATTGACACACATGTGGAACGGAGCTTTGGGCCAAGAGACAACTTTTGGTCCATCCTGTAAAGAGAGGTAAGAAGATGATATATGTTAGCATTGGCTAATTCTTCTTCTGGGTCCACCCCCATCGGCCCGGGGTGGTATTGCAGCAGGTCAGTGCACGTCATTTTGGCCATTTTTGAGTCGAAACCCGCCCCCACTGGGTCCAGCATAGATGTTAGTCTGTCCAGGACCCTCCTGTCCCCCACCTGCTGCACTGTGTCCTGGGAACAGCCCAGGACTGAGCTGGACTTCCTGATGACTTTGTCCTCAAGACAAGGTCATCCTGAGGACAAGGATGACCTTACTTACTAAAAAATTCCAAGTCCAACATGGTGTGGTCTTATAGGCAATGAATGGCAGAAAAAAACAGCTCTGCCCATGACGTCATAGTTGGAGTGATTTGTCACACCAAATTTGAGAAAGGAGCAGTTAGAAACAGGGCAGAGAAAGGGCAGGGGGACATGTGGATGGAGCTGTAGACCCTGCTCTCACTGCTCCCAGACGTGTACCACAGATCAATAGCTCTTCATCTCCGTGCCGCTCGTGTGTTTAGACTTCCTGTCATTCTCTGTGATGAGCACAGGAAGATGGCCCAGTGCTCATCTTCCTGTCTCTCTCTGTGATGCTGCTGCTCCAGCAGACCACACCGTACAAGAGGCTGATGCCACCACAGAGTCATAGAAAGTCCTTCAGGAGTGGCCCCTGCACTCCAAAAGACCTAAGCCTCCTCAGCAGGTAGAGCCGACTCTGGCCCTTCTTGAAGAGGGCGTCTGTGTTATGAGTCCAGTCCAGTTTGTGGTTCAGATGAACACCCAGGTACTTTGTAAGAGTCCACTCTCTCGATGTTCTTTCCCTGGATGTTCACTGGGGCTGGAGCGGCAGAGTGACGTCTGCGGAAATCCACCACCATCTCCTTGGTCTTCCCCGCGCTGATGAGGAGGTGGTTCATCTCCTTGGTCTTCCTCACGTTGATGAGGAGGTGGTTCATCTCCTTGGTCTTCCCCGCGTTGATGAGGAGGTGGTTCATCTCCTTGGTCTTCCTCACGTTGATGAGGAGGTGGTTCATCTCCTTGGTCTTCCCCGCGTTGATGAGGAGGTGGTTCCTCTCCTTGGTCTTCCCCGCGTTGATGAGGAGGTGGTTCCTCTCCTTGGTCTTCTCCGCGTTGATGAGGAGGTGGTTCATCTCCTTGGTCTTCCTCACGTTGATGAGGAGGTGGTTCATCTCCTTGGTCTTCCTCACGTTGATGAGGAGGTGGTTCATCTCCTTGGTCTTCCCCGCGTTGATGAGGAGGTGGTTCATCTCCTTGGTCTTCCTCACGTTGATGAGGAGGTGGTTCATCTCCTTGGTCTTCCTCACGTTGATGAGGAGGTGGTTCATCTCCTTGGTCTTCCCCGCGTTGATGAGGAGGTGGTTCATCTCCTTGGTCTTCCTCACGTTGATGAGGAGGTGGTTCATCTCCTTGGTCTTCCTCACGTTGATGAGGAGGTGGTTCATCTCCTTGGTCTTCCTCACGTTGATGAGGAGGTGGTTCATCTCCTTGGTCTTCCTCACGTTGATGAGGAGGTGGTTCATCTCCTTGGTCTTCCCCGCGTTGATGAGGAGGTGGTTCATCTCCTTGGTCTTCCTCACGTTGATGAGGAGGTGGTTCATCTCCTTGGTCTTCCTCACGTTGATGAGGAGGTGGTTCATCTCCTTGGTCTTCCCCGCGTTGATGAGGAGGTGGTTCATCTCCTTGGTCTTCCTCACGTTGATGAGGAGGTGGTTCATCTCCTTGGTCTTCCTCACGTTGATGAGGAGGTGGTTCATCTCCTTGGTCTTCCTCACGTTGATGAGGAGGTGGTTCATCTCCTTGGTCTTCCCCGCGTTGATGAGGAGGTGGTTCATCTCCTTGGTCTTCCTCACGTTGATGAGGAGGTGGTTCATCTCCTTGGTCTTCCTCACGTTGATGAGGAGGTGGTTCATCTCCTTGGTCTTCCTCACGTTGATGAGGAGGTGGTTCATCTCCTTGGTCTTCCTCACGTTGATGAGGAGGTGGTTCATCTCCTTGGTCTTCCTCACGTTGATGAGGAGGTGGTTCATCTCCTTGGTCTTCCTCACGTTGATGAGGAGGTGGTTCATCTCCTTGGTCTTCCCCGCGTTGATGAGGAGGTGGTTCATCTCCTTGGTCTTCCCCGCGTTGATGAGGAGGTGGTTCATCTCCTTGGTCTTCCTCACAGTGATGAGGAGGTGGTTCATCTCCTTGGTCTTCCTCACGTTGATGAGGAGGTGGTTCATCTCCTTGGTCTTCCTCACGTTGATGAGGAGGTGGTTCATCTCCTTGGTCTTCCTCACGTTGATGAGGAGGTGGTTCATCTCCTTGGTCTTCCTCGCGTTGATGAGGAGGTGGTTCATCTCCTTGGTCTTCCTCACGTTGATGAGGAGGTGGTTCATCTCCTTGGTCTTCCTCACGTTGATGAGGAGGTGGTTCATCTCCTTGGTCTTCCTCACGTTGATGAGGAAGTGGTTCATCTCCTTGGTCTTCCTCACAGTGATGAGGAGGTGGTTCATCTCCTTGGTCTTCCTCACGTTGATGAGGAGGTGGTTCATCCCCTTGGTCTTCCTCACGTTGATGAGGAGGTGGTTCATCCCCTTGGTCTTCCTCACGTTGATGAGGAGGTGGTTCATCCCCTTGGTCTTCCCCGCGTTGATGAGGAGGTGGTTCATCTCCTTGGTCTTCCTCACGTTGATGAGGAGGTGGTTCATCCCCTTGGTCTTCCTCACGTTGATGAGGAGGTGGTTCCGCTGACACCAGTCCACAAAGTCCTGTATAACTCCTCTGTACTCTGTGTCATCGTCCTCGATGATGTCCGATGAGTTGTCAGAGAACTTCTGGAGGACACAACTGTCCGTGTTGTGTCTGAAGTCCGCAATGTAGAGGGTGAAGAGGAACGGCGCGAGGACTGTCCCCTGGGGGCCCCCCACACTGTGGGTCCTCAGACACAAAGTATGTGTGTGTGTGTATGTGTATGTACATATGTGAGTGTATGTGTCTATGTATTAGTGTGATTTGTGACACACAGGTTGCAGCTGTGGGGGCCACCATTTTATGCGCTCTCCTAATCCCCACTCTGATTGCACTTCTAGTCCGGTAATATCCCGATGCGCCCTCCATCAACATGGCCGAATTCTGCCTAAGCCTCTTATGGCTCTAAGCCTGCACGCCACCACCGTGACCCAAACACACCACTGTCATACTTAACTGCAACTGTACGCTGGCCCAGTGCTCACCCAAAGAGAAAACACAACATACTTCTATTTGCTGTTTTGTGATTATTATGACATTGTGTATCAAGGTTTTATATAGGTTATATGTTTAAGACATTTGAAGTCTTAAAATGATCTCAAACAATGTATAAAGACAGGTTAGAGTGTTGCAACTTTCTATTCACCTCTAAATCAAATTTTCATGTCTATTCATAGTATATTTTTTGGATTGACAGGAAAAAGGTGAGTGAGAGATGAAGAGAATGATCCAACGCTCCTGTCTCGTCGTAGTGTGAGAAATTACTTTCTACAAAATTTCAAGTCCAACATGGTGTGGTCTTGAAGGCAATGAATGGCAGAAATAAAGAGCTCTGCCCATGACGTCATAGTCGGAGAATTTTGTCACACCAAATTTGAGAATGGAGCAGTTAGAAACAGGGCGGGGGTACATGTGGATGAAGCTGTAGACCCTGTCTACACGGCGTTCCTGATCACTTTAACCAAACAGAAGTGACCTCCACAGAGAGCACAGGCCTCGCTGCTCCCAGACGTGTACCGCAGATCAATAGCTCTTCATCTAAGTGCCGCTCGCGTGTTTAGACTTTTAATCAGCCGAGCTGAGGGCCCCACTGAGACCTGCCATAACCCACAGCGAAGGGCCTCATCACTGCACTACATGTGCAGAAAAAGAAGAGTGCACTAAAAAAATCAAGTCTATTTGTATCATGAAAAGTGGCTCATACTTTTCTCACATGCTGGAACTGCGTCGCTCTTGCGTTGTTTTGCATTCAGAATGTTTTTGCCGGATATTGTTAAAAACACAAGTCAACAATTTGTCAGACTGTAATTAACAATTAATCGGTTAGTCTGCAAATTATTCTTTTAATTGTTCGATTAGTTGTTTGGATCCCAAAAGGACAAATAATATGGAATTTAATGTGATGCCACTCATCATAGAGAGGACTTGTTACACACTGGGCTGTCGTTATAGAATTTGCTGAGTCATAAAACCTCTTCTCTGGATGTTTAAGTCTATCAAATAATTCAAAAAATTATTAATCAATCACTAAATCAGTTGACATCTATTGTAATAAAAAATGATTCAATACACATCAGACACGCGGCACATCATGTAATGGTTTATCTATTTAACTGTTATAACTGTAAATGGTCAAACCATGTGTATACATTCATTTGCATAGGGTAAGAAAGAACTCAGACAATAATGTTTTTAGATCACTCCCTCCCAACCCTTCCAGCAGTGGCTAACACTTAAAAACAACATTTAAAGGTAGATACTATGATAATTTTGTAAGCAAGGAAATAAAATAAAAGAGAACAATCTGAATAAAAAATATATATAAACAAGCTAACACTTACTGTGCTTATCATTTTATATATACTTAAATAATAGACTTTGATGTGCAATCTGAGTGCTCTTATTTCCTTTCTCTGCTGTAATGTGTGCAACGATGACACTGACATTTCTCCACTGTGAGACTAATAAAGGTTTATCTTATCTTATCTTATCTTATACACCCCCAAATATTCTACTGTACCTTTGCGTCAGGCAACATTTGTAACATCGTGCAAAAATCCACTCCAAAAAACATGGCAGTAGAAAAATCTAACTTGTCTCTAGCTTTAAGGTTTGATTGAAACTAAACAGTTTGGTTCTGTCACTAGTTTTCATATGCATCTATTTTTGACCTCTGTCAAAGTTAGTGTATTAGTTATTTTTGTATAGCCCTAAATCACAACAATAGTTATCTTGGAGGACTTTACAAAGTTGTCGATTTGCCAACACAGATCAGAGAATCAAAGAGGAAATGTAAATATATGTAAAGGTGCACTTTATTGTCCTCGTAAGGAAATTCGTCCTCTGCATTTGACCCATCCTGATGCCATAGTAACCGAACCACCTTCACTTAGCAAATCACCTCCAGCCCTGACTTTCAAAATGTTTTAAGATAATATAAAGACAGCATAATGTGGTCTGAATATTCCGGTTGGAACACTGGGACAAACAACATGTATTTTTAAAGAAAAAAACCATCATAATCTGTGTCTTGTCCTTGTGGAAAGCTCACTCAAGCTTTAGAAGTAGCAGTAGTTCGAGTTATAAGAGCAGCAGTAACTGTGGGACGAGCACAAGTGTCACTGTGCACAATGACTTCACAGCTTCGAGGACAATGTGCGCATTGACCCCGCGTGTATGATTGTGCGAGTGTGAAAGTGCCTGTGCGCGCCAGTGCGTCACTCCAGCTGTACAACCACTTCCGTGACGCAGTGTGTGACCGCGGGGTGACCACTAGAGTGAGGTCAGAGGTCAGAGCCGCAGTGAAGGGAACACGGTGCGGATGGAGAGCAGGGTTGTATAGACATACACATTTGACGTGGGGCCGTGTTTCCATGGTGACTGCAGTATTCCTGATGTGGGAGAATCACTTGTTGCCATGGTGATGAGAGCTCCACACCCGTTGCTGCAGAGACTCTCAGACAGAGCCCATCCCCCTCTGCAGGTACAATCTGCAGATGGGTGGATGGCTTCCTCACGTTTGTAAAAAAACTGGTTCTAACTAAAAAACAAGCAACAAGGGGCACCAGTCAGGAGAACGATGCACCCACCACTTGAAAAACACACAGGGATCAGCAACAACTCCCCTATTTTGCAAACACAAAGGCTGCAATGATTTCTCCCTGACAAAACAACAAAAAATGCACATAGATACATTGTTTTGTCCAATCGTTTCCCAGTCAGTATTGTCTCACATGTTCAAGCTTCTGTTGTTGCTTATGTTTATTGACCAATTTCTGTTTTAATTGATTTATTTTTTTAATGGCTAATTGACATTAAAAGAATGTCCAGAACTGCAGTCCTTCAAGGTGACTGCAGTAGTGATTTTGGGCATTACAAAATGAAAGTTAAATATGTAGCTGACAGTAATCACCCGGATCACGGATAACATGTAAGAACAGGTGCTACTCAAACTCCTCATCTCATGCCATTTACTCTTCTCTACTTTCTAAGTAGAGAAAGTTATTTATTTATACAGCACCTTTCACAGACCAGAGTCACAAACCGCTTTACAATTGTGGGCATTTGTCTCTCACTCTACACAGAGATGGGAGCGAGGTTGCCATACAGTTTTTAGCGGGATTTGGAAACTGGAACTTCTTGCTGAGAAGCGAGAGTGCTATCCACTCAGCCACCCATTGAACAAACTGATTTGACACGTATGTCTTTCGATGTGTGACGTAACAATGACTATATAAATCATGTACTGACTCCATTTTGTCGGAGAAAGAAGGAAACAACAGCAACTACTGGAACTTGAGAGAAACATAATAAACTTGGCGCACCACGATCCGTCTCTGTCTGGTTCATTCCTTACACTGTAACAAACTGGGCAGAAGCAGAGCCGGCCCTAGGTCATTCGGCGCCCCAGGCGAAACTACATTATGGCGCCCCTTGCACACTTGTAGAGGGCATCACAGTGAACAAGTGTGCAGTGAAAGTAGTTGCAAACCTCTTTCAGTCCTGGCTCAGTCCTGGTTCAGTCCTGGTAGTCCTGGTTCAGTCATGGCTCAGTCCTGGTTGTCCTGGCTCAGTCCTGGTTCAGTCCTGGCTCAGTCCTGGTTGTCCTGGCTCAGTCCTGTTTCAGTCCTGGTTCACAGCAGCTCAAAGCTTTACTAAACTTGATGGAAGTGCATCATTCTTGCCGCTGTTTAAAACGTTCCGCTTAGCCGCTCATCTCCACTAATTGTGCACGTATTCTCCGCCCGTTGTGTAGTGTCTGCCTCTGTCTCAAACAGGACTCTGTAGACCAGGGGTGTCAAACTCATTTTGGCCTGGGGGCCAAATACAACCATAATTGAATCTCAAGTGGGCCGGACCAGAAGATGCTCTACAAAAATACCCAAAAACGGTACAAAGTCCAACTTTTTGTGCACATAAACACATTTATCTAAAACTTCCTTTAAAACACTGTCCTTTAATACTCACTCAGTTTTAACTGTAAATCTGTTAAAAACTTAAATGTAACAGTGAGTTTTTCATAGTGCAAATAATGTAAGTATTTACAATATAACATTGAAAATGGTATTTCACAATATTTATATTAATATTTGTATGTTAGCTTTGTTTTAAGGCTCATTACAGAGAAAACTTGCTCACAAAGGTAAAGTAGGTAGATAGAAAAAAGCACTAAAACACAGCACCTCAGCTTAGCCATCTTCAGTGTGGTAAGGTCCATGGTTATGTTATTATCACAGAGAAAGCATCAAACTGACCATGAGTCAGTTGAAATGAACAAAACCACTTTCATAACGTGATCCATTCTTAACGACTGCAGCAGTGTCTCTGTGTAAAATACAGTCAAATGTCCAAAAATCATCACCTCCATTTGCAGCTTTGTCACAACACTTGCTTTACCAGTCCACACCTCTGTCCAACGCACCAGCTGCAGCACCAGCAGCAGCACCAGCAGCAACGCTCA